AAAGAGATTCCCCGATTAGGGCGGAAAAGAAAGAAAGAAAAGGAATGGGAAAGAGAAAGAGAAAGAAAAAAGGTTTTTTAAAAATAAAAAAGTTACATTTTTGCTTCCCAAGATTACATGTTTGCTTCCCTCTCTAAGAGTCCCAAGATTACATTTTTGCTGTTGAATCCCAGAGAAGCCAATCACATGTCAAGAAGTTTGCTACTAAGTAAGAAAGCAATTGGGGAGGGGGGGGCAATGGGTTTGTCTTTTGGTTGTTTTTCAGATTAAAAAGGCACCGAGTTTTTCTTCATCGGTGGGGTGGGAAAGGAGGCATCGATAAACTCAGAAGTTTCCAAAGTAAAGTCAAAAAAAGACCACCTCAAATTCAACTCCCCTCCAACTGGGTCCTTGTCTTTCCATCTCTACACAAAACAAACCCAGACTCCATGTTTTCTGCCTGTTACACCGTCGCTCGCTTTCACCCCCAATTCTGCCCCCTTCCAAAATCTTTCCAAAGGGGGGGATCGGGGGAAAGGGATCCGGTGAGACCCCCCCCACCCGATCAAAAAGGGTTTGTTTGTGTTTTTTTTACCCCGGGAAATCCAAAAGTGAGACACAACCACAAAACTCACAACACAAAAGTTTCTCTCCCTGGCTCTGCCTGAGTGACAGATGCCGAGACAGAGTTCTCTTTGTTCCAAAAGAAACAAACTTACACGGTTTCCCCCCCCCCCAAAAGAAAACCCAAAACCAAGCTTCAATCGCACGCGTTACCCTGGTTTTACTCCAAACACCTCCTCATCCTCACCCTCCTCCCCCAAAACTGTCATTTTACCACCACCCCCCGAAGACTTTTTGTTATAAAAACCCAGATCCAAAATAGTGAGGTGAGGGGGGGGGAAGAGAAGAGTAGAGAGGCAGGGAGGAGTTTCCCTCAAAGGGAAAAATTGGGAAAGTTGCCATTTTGGGAGCAAGAAAAAGAGAGAGAGAGAAAGAGAGAGAGAGAAGAGACGTGCAAAAAGGAATGAGAAATCTTGGAAAGCTGGGAAAGGTAGAATACATCTTTATTAAATAAGTTTCCAGACCATTTCTCATTCATATATAGAGAGCAATGGTCTGGAGACTTATTCAATAAAGATGTATTCTATCCTTCCCAGTGTATGTGTGTGTGTCTGTGTGTGTCTATCTACATATATATATATATATATATATATATATATATATATATATATATATATATAATAGACACACACACACACACACACACACAATGATAAAAAAATGTATTTTTTTTATTTTGAAATGGTCTGGGAAGGGTTTGTTTGGAAGGGTCAACCTGAGGAGAGAGGAAAAGGGCATGAGAAGCGTCCATTCAAAGAAGGAAAAGTGGGGCTCCACTTGGGTTTTGGTCCCTTTCCCCCTCCAGCCACCTTGCCTCAAACGTGACACGAAACAAAAGAGCTCCTGGCTTGTTCTTCCAAATCCCAGGGTTGGGATGGCATGGTCGCCTTTTGTTCCCCCTCCCAAAACAACAAATGACTTACATTTGCTTCTTTTTGTCCCTCCCCTCAGCCAACTTTGGGCAAAGCTTTTTACACCTTTTCAAAAAAAGTTTCGAAAGTTTACATAAAAGTTGGATAGCCTTTTTTTTACCTTCCCTCAGGCACCCCAAGGAGGGCAGGCGGCTCCTTCCCCTCCACGAGGAGCCCACCCAAGAAAAACCACGAGGGTTTCCCACTCTCGACCCCCCC